TCAAGTGTGAAAAATTGCAGCTCAAATTGTGGTACAAAATGGCTGCGAGCTTTCGTTCAGCGCTCGTTAAAAGTCACGCAGGGGTTTACGAGTTTAAACAACAACAGGACCGGGAAAAATGTTTTTAAATTTATGCGTATGAAAACAGAAATTATATTAATTGCAATTGCAGCGGCAAGTACGGTAGCGGGATGAGGGAGGCGTGAGAAGGGAGTAGGGATTGCTGTGAGTGTTGAGAAACATGAAAATGCAACAACAGCAACAACAGCATAATCATCATCAGGGGGTTAGGGGCAGGACGTTGATGTTTGCATCGCAAACAGCAACAAAAAAAAAAATAAAAATTGCAAACAATTTGCATGTCAAAAGTGCGTCTCGAGTTGGCAACACCCGGAACGGCCATTGCGGATGCCTCCTAGGAGCCACCCCGCCCCACCCCAGAGCAGAGCTCTGCTCTCTCCTATCGCCATGCCAAAGCTGCCCCTCCCTATTCCCATCCCAGAGCTACTCCTACACTGAGAGCACTCTCCTCCGGCTCTGGCTCTGGCGCTGGCTCTGGCGCTGGCTCTGGCACTGGCTGTGGCCCTCAACAGCGTTGTTTGGCAAGCAATTGGGGAATTTACTTTTGCTCAGCTCTGGTCGCGCACTCTCCACTCTCTCTCCCTGGAAACTTGCAATCAACATAACAATTATGCGAGAAGCGCAGAGGAGGAGTGGGAGGTATTTGCGGGTGTGGCCATGTCGGATTTTATAGTCAAGAATATTTATAAAATATACTCGTACACACAGAGCGGTTTTTGCACCCCACAGCCATATGGCGTTTATGGTGCAGACAAATTTAAAGATCACGCAGCTAATTATGTCAGGATCTAGCAGGCGGACACATGTTCGGGGATGGCACTCGCTCAGGAGAGGGGCATATGGGAGGGAGCATTGTCTGGTCGCCCCGACATTCTGCCGAAATCAGATAAGCAGTGGCAGGGCGCTGCGATTGACAAAGCGTATTTAATGAGCAGACTCCTCCCCGGCCCCGGCCCAGCCCCAGCCCCAGCCGCAGTTGCCACCACCTCCGCCCTCGCTGTGGCACCACCCAAGTGGTGGCACAGGGGCTCCTGCGAAAATCACAAAATCAGTTGGCAAGAAATCACAGCAGACACGGTAGACAACCAGAGGAGGGGTGAAACAGAGGGGGGTGGGGGATGCTCTAGGAAAAACCGCGGCGACAACATCGCCAGCAACAACGAGGCAACAACGACAACGAAAACGACAACGACAACGACGACATCATGCTGGCAATGTCTGTTAGGGGATTGTGTTTTTGGGAAGGAGATTGCTGTGTTCGTGTGTGTGTGTGTGGCATGTTGGAATGGCAACTAGAAGCAGCTTGTGGCATATGCCACCGATGCGTGTCATCAACTGTCTGTCTGTCTGTTGCATATCGAGGGGGGGGGGGGGGGGGGGGGGGGGGGGGGGTGTTGTGCCACCGAGAGGAAGACACAAACACCGAAATTGTTTAGGCTGCTGCCGCTCCTGCTGCTTAAGGTAGGATAATGACATCAATATGCTTGACGACACTCCACACGGATCTTGGGCGACCTTGAACCCAGCTTTCGAGTGGCGTGGGGAGAAAGAAAAACTGATGTCGTGTGCCAGAGTGAAGTTAGGGAGGGAACAACCGGTAAGTGCTGATGGGGAAATGTCTTCTATCTATTTATTATCCATCCATACGCAGGAGAGGCCTCATTAGCAGTCTTTACCTCTACCCAATGGGTGGGGGGGGAGGCGAAGCAGAGGGCCCTCTTTCAAGTGGTGTGTCGGTGCCCATGCCCATACCTGGCCAAAAATCTCTAGGGAATTCGGACCATTTACGGTTTTGGCAGAACTTCACGGCCAAAGTGTCGGTCAGGGGGAAAGAGTAGTTGAAACACTTGCTGCCTGCCGCCTTCAGAGCCACAACCGCCAGAGTTTTTCATTAGTGCAAGTGCCGCACAGCTGCATGTCACACGAAGGCACACACTCGCACACACACGCACACACACACACACACACACACATGGCAGAACGACTCCCAGCACGTTTCAGGCATTGCGGAACGTGCCAAAAAGCATTGCATAAGCGCAGGCGGACAACAAAATCAAAAGAGGAAAAAAGAAGCGCAGAAAATGTTGAGGAGGAAAAACAAAAAAACAAAAAAAGCTAAAAAAAAATGAAACGTAAATAGAGAAAAGTCGAGGACAATATTTTTGCAAGGCAAGGCAAACAAATCTGAGCCACAATCTCGCATAGAAAATGGCATTGGAAATGCGTTTAGCAATCATCTCACGACTCGGCAGACAGTCGACAGGACACTCGCCCGCCTTCCAGTGCATTGCGCATACGCCACGTTCACGTTGCATTTGTCGGTCTGGTTATGGGCAAGGGGCAAGGGGCATGGGGACACGGGCATCGGGCATCGGTCTGCCTGCCAGTCTGTCCGTATGTCTGCCTGTCCGGGCGTGTGTTAATAATGCGTGACACAAACTGGAGCTCCAAGTGAGACTCCCTTCGATGTGACATTCGAATTGAGTGGAGACGGCACATTTTAAGTGACAGCTTGCAGCATGCCCCAACTCGAGTCCGAGACTCCGAGAGTGGAAGAGCTGAGAATTGACTTGAGAACTGTCTTTGTCTGTCACTCTACCCCGTCACGAGTGCCGGGCCGGGGCGAAGGGTACAGTACCGAGTGGGTATTTATCATATGATCGATTGGAGGCTATTTATAAGAACTAAATTACCATCCAATTAACGGGTATGCCCTGGTCGAAACCTTTTCGTAGCACACTTGTCATTGTTTTATTGACACGCCGCACACACTCAGAAAAGGGATAACGGGGAGGGGAGCCCTTAACATTTAAATTGCAGCTTAAAATATTCAAAATAAATGTTTCAAAGTGCCAAAAGGAAGGAAAGTTCTGTTCACTTCCACCCCCTACCCCCTTTTTTGCAATCTACGTGTGTGTGTGTGTGTGTGTGTGTGAAAATTTCAATTTCCTGCTGCGGTGGCAACACTCTCGCACACACAACCCCCCAGCATGCCACCAATTTCTGCCAATCAAAAGAAACCCCGCAATCGATGGGCGGACTGAATAAATTCTGGTGTGCAAGGAAATTAAACCAAATTGAAATTGTTTCGCACATAAAATTCCCTTTAAGGCGTTCAAGGACCACCTCGTGTTTGGGCTCGGAGCTGGCGCTGGCTCTGGCGCTGGGGGCCTTAAGCCCTGGGAAAGTTTTAATTTGCAATTGACATTTAGCAAGTACTTGGCTGTCGCTTTCTTAAGCCCGGCTCAAACGCAGCAAAAGGGTGCAGCTGGGGTGCAAAATAGGGTACAAAAATAATTACAAAGTGCAATTATTAGCCTCGGATGCGGATGCGGATCTTAAGGAGACAGCGCGAACGCTGGCAAGGCAAGGCAAGGCAAATCCAATTAAGTGAAAAGCAAGTGTAAGCCGATACTTTACCTGCTCTGGCATCCCCTTTTTCCTCTCCGTTTACCGCCCCCCCCTGTAGTTAACTGTAGCTAGCTGCTGACCTTCTCCTGTTTGTGGCCCCACCACACCACACCACACCCCTCCCCATCCCCATCCCCTTTGGGCTATTGGATTTAGCCATGCCTCTCGTTCGTTCGAAGGCAGCTGCTCTCCACTCTCCGTTTGTCTCCTTTCATTTTGCGCTTTTGCCCCTGTCATTTTCTGTCTATTTTCTTCCTCCTTGAGAGCATAAAATGAAATTGGCCAACAAGAGCAGCAACAACGGTAATAGTAATAATAAATAATAATGCTTAAATGTGTTTGCTAAAAGGGAGAAAGAAATCTTTTGTTGGACCAGGATCCAGAGGCCTGCCAGCCGCTTGGACACGGACTTGGACTTGGACTCGGCTTACTTTTGTCTCCTGTGAACTGTCACTGCGTGTTGCACTCACAATGCGGATGGCAGGAGAGACGAGAAATGGTTGCACTGAAAGAGAATGAGATATTATGAGGGTCAAGGGTTGCTGGAGGAGTGTTTGTCAAGCAAAATGGTAGAGACGTAATCCTTTTCTTCATTTTTCGTCCCTTGAAGGACCCACTTTTGGTTGCTGCCGCAAGTTTTCATACAGCCCTCGTTTGGGGCTCCGTTCCGCCTGTAATGAAAGTGAAAAACTGTTGCACCACCCACAAAAACAACGCCTGCAACGGCCAACAGTTTGCTGCCGAGGAGAAAACTATTTCAATTGAGGTAGAAAATGAACGGCAAGGACACGGCGGCATTCTCTCCCTCTGGTTTTTCTCGTATTTTCTTTTCTCCTTTCCTTTCCTTTCCTTTCCTCTCCATGCCTTTGCTTTTCGTTTTCGTTTTGGTTTTTTTTTGTGCCTGCCTCCTTTTCTTTTGGATCTCTCTGTGAATAGCTGGAGCCGAGATTCCCCGTCCCTGCTCCCCGGTTTGTTTGCAGTTTAAATTGCACTATGAAAGGAATTTTTCACATTTAAGGATTCGTTTTCATTTGGCTTCTCTCTGCTTTTTTGGATAGAGGATGCGTCTGGGTGTGGGGGCAACTAGGATAATATGTCAAGTGGCATAAGTCTGTGGATGGAAGGAGGACGGACACGACTGTGGGGACGGAGAGGATGGGAGGCTGTGTACGTACCTATTTAGCTGCCAATGGCATTGATAGTCTTTGCAAGCAAGTGTCATCCCAGTCGCCAATCCCATTCGAAATCCCCTCTCCACAATGGATGGCCATTGCTGTGTTTGCTATTTGTGTGCTGTCGGGGCTTAGACCCACTCTCTCTCTCTCTCTCTCTCTCTCTCTCTCTCTCGCTTTTTCTGTCTCCCTGGGTGATTCAGGCTGCTAAAACAGCTGGGCCAAGTGTCCGATTGAAAAGCAGTTGTCCAATCCACTGCCCAATCCCAATATCCGCTCCGTGTATAAAAGGGGAAATCAAGTGGCAAACTGGCAGTCAAAGACTGAGCCAGCAGCATGTCCGTAGCTTTGGGTTTGTCATTTATTCTCTGTGGGCTGTGCCTCCTTCAAGGCGTCCACTCCCAGTCGCAGGCCAACAGCAGCGGCAGCAGCATCAGCAGCACTGGCAGCACCATCGACTACTGCCAGCCGGGCTTGTGTCCCCAAATGAAGAAGCACATTGCCTGCAGGAACAATGGAGTAAGCCCTATATGCTCCGATGAATCAGGGAAGATCGTCCTCAAAAACCTTCTTTCAGAATTTCGGCAGCCAGTGTCCGATCAACGCCACGGAACTGCTCAACATAACCAATTATCAGGGCCTGATCGTCAGCGAGCACAACGCTCTGCGCAATGTGCTCGCCGGCGGAAAGGTCCACGCTCTGCTGCCCATGCCCGATCGCATGGCCTCACTGCAGTGGCACCCCGAGTTGGAGTACCTTGCCACAGTCAGTGTCAAGCATTGTGCCCTGCTCCACGACCCCTGCATCAACACGAGGCAGTTTCCGCAGGCCGGACAGAATCTGGCCCTGATCCATCTGAACTTCTCCCTTCCGGAGGAGAACCGCACGGATGAGGTGTTGATCAAGGAGTCCATCGCGGAATGGTGGTCGCAGAGTGCCAATGTGACCGCAGACCGAGTCCAGAAGTTCCCCAGAGCCAAACAGGGAGTGTGGGTGATCCCAAAAAACGGATCTTAACTTGGGCTGATACGCTTCCCTTCCCTCAGTTTCATTCGTAACTTCGCTGTGATGGCCCGGGACAACAACACCTTCGTGGGCTGTGCCGCCTTGCGGTTCGTCCGTCGCAAGGTGGAGCCCGACTTCCTGATGGCCTGCAACTATGCCAGCAACTATGCGGTGGATCATCCCATCTACAGGGAGAAGGCCCTCGGCTGCCAGGCGGGCACCGATCCCAAGTACCCCCCTTTGTGCCGCACTGGGGAGCAGTACCTCGAAGCAGCGCCCATGGAGAACGCCACCCGCCATTCGTTTGGCTAAAAATATGGGTGGAACGGGATGGATATTGGGGATGGTGTTGTGGTACACACTCACAGTCTATTTAACATGTTGATTTGTGTCAGAGTACGTGGTGGTCATATATCATCACTCTGGCAGACACCTGCACCATCCACCATCCCCCATCCCCCATCCACCATCCCCCATGCCTATACCTATATCCATCTGTAGCCATTCGGCAGACCTATCCCCACCACCACGACCATCATCACCATCTTCATCAGCATCTAAAATATGATACGCGTTGTTTGGGGGCACAGCGCACAAGCGATGCGACAAGGAGACAAGTTGGCATCTAATTTTAACGTCAATATACAAAATGTAAGAACGTGTCTTCATCAGCTCGTAATACACCCATCCTGCTGCTGGGCCCCCGCCAGCCGCCCCCACACTCTCTAAGTGCCTATTAATAATGTTGGGCCCCTGCAAAAAAGAAAAAAAGAAAAAAAAGAAAATGTATTTTTTTCCCTGCTTTATATATTTTTAGTGGCGTCTCTCTGCTGGTTCTATGCGTTTAATATGCCGTAACTTTGTCAAATCTGAGGCTCATTAAAGCGCCGAAAAGAGAAAAATGGCACCGTTTTTTGCCGCCCGTTGTCGCCATAATTAATTTCATCCTAATGCCGTGCCTCATCCATTGTGACTTAATTAAAACTCAACTGGAATTAGTAACAGTGCAAACGTTTTCCTCTCAAAAATATGCACACCGCCCCATATATATTTATTGCTAATTATGTTTTGCAAATTCCTCTTGTTCATTTTGACGCAATATGAAAATCACGTATGAAAATCACTCTTCTCTTGCTGTTGTTGTTGTTGCTGTTGTTGTTGCTGTTGTTGTTGCTGTTGTTGTTGGCCCTCATTAAAAGCGTGTAAAACTAACAGGGCCAACAAATTTTGTGCTGCTCATAAAATCATGAATGCGAGGAGCATAAATAAAGTGAAATATAAAATTATATGAGCTGTGAGAGTCCCATAAATTATGGACATGCCATGGAACATGACCAGGACGTCGACCATTACCAGGAGGGGCAACTTTTTGTTCGCTCCCTTGATGGACGGGTCGCTCTCAGTTTTCGCCGGTTGATTTTTAATTGCAGGGGTTGGGATATTCGGGATAGTTTTGGTAATTGGTTTATTAGAGAATACATTTTGCTCTTGATCCATTGTTGGATATTGTGTCCAGTGCAGTGTCACAGTCCTTTCAATGTGGCTGGGCATGGAAGAGTGCATTTTCATGCACATGATTTATTTGCAGAGTTATTAATCCAGCCAATGTTTATTTGAATTTCCCAATTTGCCTTTTCTTAAATATTTAATGTATTCCAAATATTTCTCTATAATTTGTCAGTGAAATCACAAATACATTTGTGCAATGAAAAATGTCTTTCTCTGTTCAGTTTTTTCCATTAGCAAATTGTTGAAATTCGTTGAAAGCATCATTAAAAAGTTCAAGCTAGAAATCAACATGATTTAGGACCTTTGAGATATTTTTTCACCAAATAAATGGATAAAATATCTAATGAATATTTATATTTAGCTAATTTGTAACTAAAGTACGAAGAGTACTTTATAAATAAACTCTTTTAAGTGCTCTGATATTATGATGTTAATGGCTGTCCATCGGGCTGTGGCTGGGGCTGTGTCCCTGAACGCTTCACAAATTTGATTGTTGAGATGATTGAATGATTTTGCGGCCTAGTGAAACGAAATGTCCAATGTGAATGCGCCAATTTATGGCCGAAACATGGAATCTGCGGTTGAATTTTAAACAAGTTAATGCGATATTAGTTGCAAACGAGCATAAATTATGCGGAGCGTGCTCAAAGATATTGCCCCACGGGTGCCAGATTTAGTGTTGGGCCATTCTGAATGTTTAATGAGCACTCAGATGTGTCAACAGGCTAAATGGAAATTTATTTAATTATGATTCATAAGTCACAAAGCGGCTTACAGCTGGCAAAAACATGCGGAATGTGAAAAGTGGCCCCTGTCATGGCCTGCCGTGCTTCTTCTCGGTCTTGGGATTCCTCCATTTCCCCGTTTCCCTGCCCATTCTTCGTCCCATTCTTCGGCCGAATGTTTGAAGTGGTTCGCTGTGGCATGCAAAAGAGGACTCCGACTCGGACTTGTTCCATGCGTAGGTCTCGGACATGGCCACATCCAAAAAGGCAATCAAAAGTTTGTTGGCAAAACAAAACGGGACTGAAAAACAAAAAAAACAAAAAATTGACAAAGCAAAACTTTTGATTTATGCAATTTGCGCTAAAAATACAAATCCATTTGATGACATTTGCGTGGATCCCCGGAATGGGGCGGATGGGGAAATAAAATTTGGCCAACAATTCCAATAAAATGGCAAAGTAGGCTTTGATTTATTTGTCCTTGACGCGGGATTGCTGGGGTGGGAAGGGGAAGCGATACGCTGCGATATGTTGTGGCACTGAGAATTCCCCGAACACGAGACTTGGCCAGGGCTCTTTGCCAGCAAATGTCAACCTCCATACATGGGAGCATAATAAATGGAGCTTCGGGCAAAACTTTAGCCCGATCCGAGCTTGGGGTCTCGTCTGTCTGTCTGTCTGTCTGTCAACCCAAATGCAAATGACCGACAAATATGCCCCAGCCGAACATCAGATGTAAGCAGATACATACATATATACACATATTCGTATAACCGCAGGCCATGGCCACTTTGGCCGCAAATTTCCACACAATTTATGAATGTTTGCCCCTCCAAGAGAGGGGGAGCGAGGAGAGATGGCCGAGGCGTCTCCCATTGCCGGATCATTTATTTTATAGTCCGTCGCTTTAAGTTATTTTTCTTCATTATTTTTTATGGGGCCAAGAGTGAGCGGAGTTGGCCAAACAAAACAATTGCCAAAGGCATTTGACAATCAGCGCCCCCGAAATGTACATAGAATCGCATATTCCACATCACACATACGTCGCGTTGGCCAGACCAGAACCGAGAAGACCTTAAGTTCATTTCCAGGGACTCGACGGCGCAGTTCATTAGCGATCCCAGAGCCCAGAGCCCCGAGAAACTTGCCTTATTAATCCTCCGATGGGAGATGGGAGATGGGCCTTACCAAAAGACAAAAGGATATGGCTATGGCCCGTTGTCATTAGGGTTCGTCCTGCTCTTTCGGCATAAACACCAAATTAAGTTTTACTGTTTCATTTATTTTTGGCACTATATATAGTATATATACGTATGTATGTATATGTGTGTGTGTTGGTTTTGGTTTGTTTTTCTTGTGGCACTATTTACTTTTATGGCCTCAGCTATGAGGGGACCACGGACCATCCCATAAGCCCTGTGGTCTGTGTAATTTTAGCTGCCTCGTATTGGCATTTGATTGTTTGTAATGAGCTGCTCGGAGCTGCTTATGTGCGGGTCATCAACGGAATGAATAATACATTGATCTCAACAGCCAGATAGCCTGAATCACGCCGCAGAGGTTCTCTGTCAGGCCGTCGAGAATATGGGAGTGATTAGGGTTATGCCAGGGGAATCACTAAGAGAATCAGTAAATGACGGTTAGCTGTTATACAATCTCAACTTTAATCTGGCCATAAACTTTATAAACTTTTGATAACACACTTTATTTGCCCCAAAAATCGCAGACTTTCTAACCCAATAAATATTAAAACATTCTTAATGGATTTTTCTCCTGTTTCGTTTTTTATATGCATATCCCCACATACTAGCATGTACGAAACATATTCATTATTTATGTTCTCGAATTGATTATGAATTCATTTCAATTGTACGATGAATTTTCAATCCATATGGCTGGAGCTGGGAAAGCAGGAAAACCGGCTGTGGTGGGGGGTGTCTGATATATTTCGATTAATTCCTGATTTAATTGTTTCTTTTGAAATGCGATTCCACTTGATTTAATTTGTTTGTGTATGTTATTTTATTTGCTGTTTGTGCAGTTCATTTGTGCATGCAATTTTTGTTAATTTTTACCCACAAACCATCCGCGCTTCACTGGGAGGGATGCCTGGGAGGGATGCTTGGGATGTGAGTGGCTTGACAGTGGCTCCCGAATGGGTCCCGAAGGGGGGTGGGCTGGAGCGCCAGAATGCATACTTTTCATCTCTAAGCCAAATAATCAAACATGTTCAATGCTCGCCTTTACTTTTGCTTCTTCTTTTGCTTTGTTGCACTGGCCCCCACCACACGGCCAATTGTGCGGCAAACATAATTCAATTAACGCCTGACCAATGGATGTTGCCGCAACACACACACAGAAATATCAGGAGGCGATTAATGGGAAGATGGGGCCATGGAGCCATGGAGCCATGGAGCCATGGGGCCGTTGGGCCATGGGGCGATTGGGTGGCAAAGTGGCCGGAAAGTGGTGGTCTACAATTTGTGCAATTTCCGCCTCTGAACAACATCAAACAGAAAAATCTCTCTATGGAAGAGTGAAAAAATGGGAAACCTTTCGCCTCGTTTGATGTGTGAATTGCGCAAATATTTTCACTAAAAAAAAAAAAAAACCCCTCCGGAACCCCAGGACCCCCTCTGAACATTTATCATGTTTACATATTCATTTATAAGCGGTTTTTTTATGGGCACTTGTTAAATGAAAAACAAACAGACAATAAACAGACAAAAAACAGCGAATATATTTTTATTTAATGCGATTAGCGGGCCTCAGCTCGGATCGGATACGGATCATCGGCATTTATTAGTCGGCAGTCGACGGTGGACGGTGGACAGTCGACGGTGGACGGTGGACAGTCGACGGTGGACAGTCGGCAGTCGCCTTAATTGAAAGCGCAACAGTATTTGGCGGGGAACAACATTAATTGACAGTTGATTCGCATGTCGGGGCAGTGTTTCCTTTTCATTTTCATATTCAATTAATTTTCAATTTATGGCCATTTAATAGTTGTCGTCTGGCGCTCGGGCTCTGCAGAATCTAATTAGCATTTTCAGCCACGCCCCGCATGCAAGCCGGCTGCCTGACATGCCTGAATAGCAATAATTGCTTAAATAAACACCACGACAAATAAACATTAATAAACATCAGCGGGAGTACAGCTGAAATATGAATTATGGCAAGCCCAAGTCTCTGTGGCATGCAACGAAGCGCACACGAATAACACTACCCCCCCCCCCACCCCACCACCCCGCCCACCATCAAGGAAGCAGCAGTCACAGAAGCGCAATGGTGGGGGGGCATTCCCCATTTGCATGTTGGGCTGATGGTCATTCACTTTGCCGTTTGGTTGCTAGAGGCAGTGCGTTTCACAAATATAAGAACGAACAAGGCACAGGCGTACAGGCGTACAGGCGTGCAGGCAGCCTTTAGGCCAGTCTTTTGAATGGAGCGAAGAGAAGGCTCAAGCCGTACAGTTGTGCCACGCACT